AAGCCCCGTCACTTCAGTAATTGAAATGCATGACCAATTTCATTGCCCATATCTATAATCTTTTTTCATTAGGGCAAATTGCTTTTTTATGGTACAGGCAATTTTATCATGTTAGACCCTTCCAATGTGAAATGTGGGGGAAAGTTAAAGATGGGAGGGGAGAGAAGACATCAGTATGAATGCTGTATTTATTGTAAAGTTATTGGCAAACTAGTCATGTGCGTGACCTTTTGACACATAATAATAATGTCGAGAGGGACACGATGAAGCTAGAGACCGGTAATATATATTTCAAACATGAAAATAAATATTGTTGATCGTGGCACAGTTTGCTGAGTGCCCTTCTTTCAATAGTTCAGGGAATTCACTCTCCCACGCACTGCGCTGGATCAAGCTGACAGCTCTTCAAATATGAAAGAAAATATTATATGTATCTTAATGTTGAGTGGAAGGATAGCACAACTTATATGTATGGTTGTTTGGGCTCAGGGACAAATCTTCCCCTATCAAGTTACCCGAACAGACTTGTTGTTGGACCAAGTTGGTACGTGGGGCCAAACATTGGTGATACTTTCCTAAAGTTTTCTTTTAATCCAAATGTCAGCACAGTTGCTTGCTTTTAAATCAGAACACGTCAGTCTTATTAGTGTGTGGCTCTGTGGATGAGTCATTCATCCATTAGACAAAGATAAACTAGAGCAAGATGAGCAGATTGTGTATGAGCTTCCAATTTAAATGAACCCTAAATTACACTGTGCTGCTGCCACCTACTGGTGCCTAAACACATCATCTTTCTTCCATCTTCTAACTTTTTGTATGGCTGCTTGGATGGGGGAAAAAAACCTTAATCTATCCATCATCTCTGGTTTGGAAACATAAAATCCTATATTAAATGAAGTGGAACTGAGCATCATAAAGGAATACACATTATACAAAACTTACATGCACATGTGGGCTATAAACTGGCAGTGAGACTCTTAAATGTCTTACACTCTTGTTTGTTGGCTTTGAGTCATTTGTAAGCTGCAAAATAGAACTAAGTGGAAATAGAAAACGATATTATACAATGAAAGGTAGGCGGAACATTTCTGAGCAGCGCCAGCAGGGGACAGTGATGCCACATCATAGAATATTTGGCTAGACAAGATATCAGGAGGATGAGGGGGGATGGAAAACTGGCATACAGTATATAAGTCACATTTCTTCTACCCTGCATTAGCCAGCTCTCAGGTAGATCTCATTTCTGCTGCTGCTCCTCAGAAAAGATCAGTCCTAACCTGTGGAATGTTGAATATGAAGACCATATCACACTTATTATGCCTCAGGGGTAGATCCAAGACAGAAAAGGTTCCATTCCCTCCTGGGCTTTCTTATTTAACAAGCCTCAGTGACAGATGGTTCCTATAACCTGCAGCCAGAGAAGAATTTCTTCTTATTTCTTTCAAGAAGAAATTCACTCATCTCAGACAGATGTCTCTTTTAAAGTCTAATTGAAAATAAATAATTGTACTGTCAAGAAATGAAAAGACAAACAGAACAGTTAGTTTTTTCAGTACAGTAAATGTTTCACCCAGTCAGGACCAGATTAACCCACTGAGGGCCCCTAGGGCAAAACTATTTGCCCCTATTGATACAGTGCATCGATATCACCACCATCATCTTTCTGCGCATTGTAGTGTCACATTCAAGTAAATAAACCGATTTAAATAGGAATATGCACAATGTGAGCATGGTATAAATTTAAGTAATGAAGGTATGAAAACAGTTTGTTCGTGGTTTGTTGCTATAGCAGTCTAATTTTAACAATTTAGTGGCCCATATTCCCAAACACATTTGTAATTCATCTATTAACCATTTACTATAATGACAGTGGTGGTCTAAAGGCTTTGGGCAGTTTCCTGCTTTATCTGGTTGGTAATCCAGTTGTCCTGTGTCAGTTAGCTAATGAAATCTCACTGTTTTGATTGAGTGCTTCAAGAGTTTAGCACAGGTTAATACTGAGCATGTCTTGAGTCAGTGTCTGTTGGGTCTACAAGTTTTAAGAAGAAAAAATCTGGGAGTGGAAGAAGTGAGCTTACCAGACCTCTGTAGCCCGCTCCTCATCTCTGCCTGAGGATAGCGGTACCTGGCTACAGTAGCATAGCATAACACACCCAGATCTCAGACGGCTGTCCAGTTGCAATGTTGCATCATTTTGTGAGTCTGAAGATGTTGGTAGTGCAATGCTAAATCTCTTTTTTTAAGTCAATTAGGAATGTGTTTTAGATACCAGACAAACAGAAGGGAGTTTGATTCTGTTTCAGAGGCTACAGACAACCACCACACAGGAGATGGTGAGCTTACCTTGTGTGGCCATTGATAAATGCACTTGCACTTTTTAGCTTATATGTGGGTGAATGATTTGTTTATGTGACTTTACTTCTGTGAACACTCCTCAGATTTCCCCTTGAGGGACACATAATGTGTTTCAGTGTAAATTGAATAAAAAATACAGATCATCCAGCAGGGATTTATAGTCCTGGCACTCTTCCTCGCCTGAAACAAAGAGTGCCCCTGCCAGTGTCAAAGGATATTATTACATTTTATGAAATGGAAAAATCAGCAATAGTGTTAGATCACACTTCAGTCACATTGTGTATTCACATCACTTTTGTGTTCCTGGTTGTGTTGTTGTTGTAAAGTAATGCCAATCATGTAAGATTAGATGACCAATTAACATCAGTTCATGTAAGATCATATAAGATAATCAGATTTCCCACTCACTCTAAACTACGTGAACACTCCGAAACAGATATTTAGCTTTAAAGTAATAACTACATTTACTACTAATAATATTACTAAGGATTAATTAATCACATTACTAAGTGCAACTAGCGTAGACATTTCTTACATTGTAAGGAATACTAGAACTAGAAGTGCAGAAAATGTATGTAAGTCTTTCTTATTTGTTTAATGAACTAGTGACCATTTGGATTTTTCAAAACAGCAAATTAAACCTTTTTTATTTCCCAGCAAAGCATTGTAAAAAAGCATCTATTCTATATATATTGTTGCAGAATATCCTTGTGAACTGAATTGGGTTCAACCCCGGATTGCTCTTGATTTGGTTGGTTTGGTTTGGTTGGCATGCAGACTAGGTTGTTTTCTGTTGTGGCTGGCATCAGTGCTCTCTGCAGACTGACAGCTGATGTGCACTGGATTGGCAGGCCTGGCCCGAGGTCAGAAGCAGACCTGTCATCTTGGTCTGTGAGAGACTCTTGACCTCCTGGGTCGCTCTTTGTCAGCGACGGCCCCTCACTATGCCATGCACTCTGCATTTCATAACCTTAAATCTGTTCCTCTCCTTTGTTGCCGAGGTCTCCTGGTGTACCTCATATACATTAGAAGACTGTTGTAATCAAGACAGCTACTAGACGTTAAACAGAAGAAGTTGCGGCTCTTAATGACAGGTTGCAGAATGTGTTGTGGCAAGCCGTATTGCGTTTTATTTGGGCACCTCTGTGGATATATTTGAGAGAGTAATTGTAGGCAATCATAGTAATTCTCTCTGAAGAAGGTCCAATTTTCAAATACAATGTACTATTCAATACTAAGCCAATCCACATTCAGCCACTTCAGTAGCTCTTGACTAAGGACTCAAAATGGGCAATTTTTCCAATAGTGCTTTAATTGGTCTGTCCTGATTATATAATAAGTAGGTTGTAGTGCATAGTCCAACACCTCATGACTGAATTACCTTTCCTCATTACTTGATTCTTTCTTTTTTCCTGTTTAAACTATTTTCCTTCCTGTATGGCAGTACCCACATATAATTTAGTGGCATCAAGCGGTGACTAACTGAATACCACTCGCCTTCCAAGCATGAAGATAAACATCCAGCAGTTTATCTGGTTTGTACATCCTGGGCTACTGTAGAAACATGGCTGTTCAACATGGCAGCATCCATAGAAGAGGACTCGCTCCCTCTTTAGATAAAAACAGCACATTCTAAGATAATGAAAATACAAAGAGTCTTATTTTCAGCTGATTATAAATAAATGAAAAGAATATTATTATCCATTTCTTCCAGTAGATCTTAGAAGTAGAAGTTACGCAATGGACCTTTAAATGAACTAAATAATGAACGTTAAAACAAAAAACACTAAAAACAAGCATTCATCCCACATATTAAAGCTATTAAAGTAAGTTTTAATAAGAGGAAATTGTCCCAAAAACCTAAAAGGTCCCTGAACGAGCATAATGACCTGAATAGTATAACTAATAAGTAAAAATTACATCCACTGGCAGCAAAACATGGCAAAAAACTCTCATTTATTAGTTACTTAAATTTGATTTTGAGAGTTTTGAAAAAATCCAAATGATCACCTAAGTCATCGGTTACATCAAGTGCATTTACAGAGATTGACTTTAAAGGATGCCATATGTTCCTTCATCTTTCTCTGCCATCGGTCCCACAGAAGTCACCAAGGCCAGATTGGCCCGGCCACGCCAATCACAGAGCAGAATGGGTCTGATTATAGGGCAATCACTTAAATGGTGGAGATGACATCAGTAACCAGAAATTGGCTGACTTTATTTGGTCTCGCAGGGATGGCAGTGAGAAAAGCCTGGCCTGGAGCACAATGACAGACCAGGGTAAATTGGGCTCAGAGAAGTTTCGGTGATAGCAGATGTAATTTCAAACAGGGCAAAAGGGCTGGAGTGCGTTAAATGAAAGGATGAAAAATTGAAATTATGCACTGGCCATTTTGCAAGTATTATAGCGTCTGAAAATCTCTTTTCACGGACATAAAAAAACCTCCATATGACAGTAGAAGAGAGTTTGTTAATCACACTGTTGTGGCCAGGTTTCTATTGTAGTATATTTCTATACTTTTGAACTTGAAATTATATAGACTTCCTTCCCCTGGCATGAACTCCTCACCTCATCTCTGTTTATGGCTTGTTAGGCTGAAATACATCTTCCTCTCCTCCTCTTCTTTGTCCTTTCTCTCCTCCATCTCCATCTCCATCCCCCCTGCTCTGCTGCAACGCTGTCTTCCTCTCTTTTTCCTCGCCAAAACCACAAGCCTGTACTAGAGCTGCAGACAAAGACACAAACACAAATTGGCAACCTCTGGGTCAAGCCCGCATGATAGAGACAGTCTCAGTGGCTGGAAGGAGGAATTCAAGAAAACGGACAAATACAGTTTTATTGCTACCTACCTAAAACAGTTAATTACATATGGTCGCTGATGTGGAATCTTTTCTGTAGGCTGTCTGTGAACAAACTCTGTGGTTCTTTGCAACCTGCCTATTTGACCTTCTCTGTGCATTTTCCTCACACTGGTAGCACTACATTGACACGTGCTGTGAGCTGAGGATATTCACAGGCAAAGGGACAAGGGCCTTCCAGTTTGAGGCAACAAAAGACTCCTTAATCATATTCACTACAGCCCCCTCAAACATTTAGTGTCAAAGGCTGGTGCAGAGTACCACTCTTCTTGACAGCATGCAAGGCCCTCTTATGCTCCTTCCTCACTTCCATATTGCACGAACTGGTGCCAAACTAAAAATACTGCGTGTTTGTAGTTCCACTATACGGGGTGTCAAAACAGAGAGCTGCACATAGGATCCATGTGTTTGCTGTTAAGGCACAAGACAACGCCACTGTGTGTGAGAGGAGCAGTGTATAAATGGACTAAAGAGAACATCAACATAAACATCCACATACATACAGTATATGCATGCAAGTAGAAACAAGACTCAGAGTCTACAGCCACGCTAGCAGCTCTGCTTAGGCACAGCAGTAACCTCGCAAGTCAAGCTGCCTTGCGAGGTCACACTATCACGGGAGAATTGATCTTGCAAGCCTTCAATCGATGTGTTTGTGGTCCATGCGCTGGTACTGGATTAATCAGTGTCCTTTGAGGAAGTACTGGCAGCTACGGGGGTGGGCACTAGGTGTGGAGCAGCAACAAGATACTGTTTGACAACAATGGTGGCTCCCACAGAGGTTAGCGTACATGCTGCAAGCATCTGTTCTATCAGAATTGTATTTCTTACGACTCTAAAGGCTTTTCTCCATAGAAAGGATGTGTTTGGTCTTGTCCCAACTGACTTAGGTAAGTTTGACCATATAATGTATCTACTTAACGTTTGTTGATCTGATTGGTAGAAGTTTGCCCGTAATAGATACACCATCCAATTACATGCTGAATATTTTTTGAAAGTGCCTGCCCTTTTCCAAACATTTTCCAACAAAGACTTCCCAGAGTGCTCTGTGTAACAAACCATCTGGCGCAGTCAGGTTACCATTCAGGGCCACCGTGGCTAGGATTGTCACTGTGTGATCAAAAGGCATCAATACGCCTCAAACATATGATCGAACAGCGTGAGAAAGCCCCTTTCCCAATACCCCTTCTAATGTTGACATTGGGAGGACTACATCAACATTTTATGACTTTCTGAAACTGACAATCCTACAAGCACACCCTGTTGTGAAAAAATCATCAGGGTTTGAATTTCTCCTTGAAGCTTTTCATTCTTAAAACAACTACTTTCGTCACTTTTTGGGTGTGAAACGTGCAACAGCATGAATGCCTCTGAGGAGTGTGGCCGCAATTATCCTAATCTGAATGATTCACCATGTCGTTCACTAAAGCAGACATTTCATCCCACCTTTGAGTGTGGCTGTTTAATTCACTTGCAGCTGCAACAAGCTGCTGGAATTTGAGCTTGGTACAGTGTGTAACAGCTCATTTCTATCAACACCATTTCAAAAACAAGAATCACATCACATATCACAATACACACAGTGCAATAGTTATGTACGGATTGACGAAGGGCAAAAGATGGCTAAAGAGCCCGAGTTTTAGAGGTCTGTATTGCAGTGGAGTGAAAACTATTTTTGAAAGGCTGAATTTGCCCTGGATGGCAGTGACTTATAGCACCTGCCGGAGGGAACAGGAGGTGAACTGGGTGAGTGGATCTAAAATGGTTTTATGTGCTTACTTGTGTGTGTGTTCCTAACACGTATAAACCTTTTTTGCCCTTGTGAATGTTTAGTTGAAAAGACCTTTCTGGCTCGAGCACAGTGTTTGTTTCATGAGAAACGAGAGGCAGCAGAATCAGAGTGTCGTTGGGAATTTGCTTGTGAACAGCCTCTGTTTCCCTCTCATGTCAGAGTTGGGTATCTTTTACCCTGTCAAAGAGGCTGTTTACTGGAAACAAACACTGGCAGAGGCAGTGTTAGTCTCTTTAGCTCCATTTCTGGCTTGGCTGGGTATCGATTTTCAGATGTATCAGGATTCCCTTGTTAGGAAAAATGAATCTGAGAAAACACTCCCTCATGGACAATTGAAAGAAACTGATAACAAATATTTCTGTGATGCATGGTTGCTGCAGTGATACTTCAGTAGACATAGATGTACTCTCAATTTCAAGAACCCTGCTGTGAGAAATACATTGTATATACATGTTTCTTGGATGCAGGGCGGTAGAAAATACATTGCCATAATGTCATGATAGCTTACACGTGGACATTATCCATAGTAAGAAATGACCTGCATGTGTTCCAACCCATCAACAGCCACCACGTGTTAAGGGTCCATTTAGGAGGATTTTAGGAGGATATTGGCAGAAATGGAATATAATATTCACAGGTATGCTTTTATTAGTGTATAAAAACCTGAAAATAATAATTGTTGTGTTTTCATTACCTTAGAATGAGCTGTTGTTATCTGCCACCATGCTGAACCGCCAGGTTTCTACAATAGCCCAGAACAGACAAACCAAATATTGGCTTTAAATGGACCTGAGTATCTAGTCAGTATATTAAAATAATAGTAGATACAGTTATATAGTCTGCTAATCCTCGGAATGCCCAGGAAGACTTAATAAGAGGAAATGTTGTATTAAATCACATTATAATAGATGATCTGAGAAGTGACACTCTTACATTATACAAGTAGAAACATGCAATCATATGCCGTTTTGTTCAAAAGGTCATGTGGTGACGCAACCCTAGCAAAATCACATTTCATTTATCTGTGGCATTAAAACACTCCGTTGTGACAGTGCTTTTCAAATTTATTTAATCCAGCCAGTGTTTTGTGTAAGCCAGGAGAGAGGAGATGGGGCTGTGTCACTGTGCTAATACCTACTTGTGCTCATTTCCCAAGACGCCCAGGGGGAAACAGACCCTGATCCAATTAGCAGCCTGTGAGGAACCTTGTTTTGTCTCGGACTTGTCATCGCTTTCTCCCAGCTACTTCTCTGTTTTTAATTCACTGTAGAGAATGTAAATTTATTCTGTTAGATTCCAGGTATTGATCACTTTCTGATGTCAGATAGCATAAGAAGATAATAAGTGCATGAGGTTGAATCATGATTGTCTGTTTGGACTCATGTGAAGGTCCAGGTTTCATTCGTCTATTTTTGATGAATCCTCTCTTGGATTGAGATGGAGGCTAAAAACATGATTCAACAACCTAGAACAAACAACCTGACACGGTGACACAGCAGTGAAAACAAATACAGGTCAGGCTAAAGATCACTGTGGATAATGTCTCTCCATGTGGCTGCTCTATGAATAAAAAAATCACTTATTTAAGATAGACTTTCTTAAAATAAGTATTTTGGACACTTTGAGCTCAATTTAAGAATTTGCAGATTTGATAAAAAACTGAAAAAAAAAACAAACAACTAAACAAAACTGAACACACACAAGGGCATGGTTGGGGTGACAAAGTTGGTGCAGCCACAAACGGCTTTGGAAGGATTCATCAGCAGAGTGATAATGAGAAGTCTCAAGTTGTAATAGCTACACTGTATAGCTGCATTGAAAAAAAAATCATATGTAACAATTGTTAAAATCTAACAATATATACAGTCACGGATGAAGGTATTGGCACCCCTGGAACTTTTCCAGAAAATGCACAATTTCTCCCAGAAAAGTGTTGCAATTACAAATGTTTTGGTATACACCTTTATTTCCTTTAAGTGCATTGGGACAACACAAAAAAGCAGAAGAAAGAAGTCAAATTTGACATCATTTTACACAAAACTCAAAAATTGGGTCGGACAAAATCATTGGCACCCTCAACTTAATATTTGGTTGCACACCCTTTGGAGAAAATAACTGAAACCAATCGCTTCCTATAACCATCAACAAGTTTGCTACACCTCTCAACTGGAATTTTGGACCACTCTTCTTTTGCAAACTGCTCCAGGTCTCTCAGATTTGAAGGGTGCCTTCGCGCAACAGCAATTTTGAGATCTTTCCATAGGTGTTCTATGGGATTTAGATCCGGACTCATTGCTGGCCACTTCAGAATTATCCAGCGCTTTGTCTCCAACCATTTCTGGGTGCTTTGTGAGGTATGTTTTGGGTCATTGTCCTGCTGGAACACCCATGACCTCTGACGCAGACCCAGCTTTCTGACACTAGGCCTTACATTACGGGCCAAAATCTTTTGATAGTCTCCAGATTTCATGATTCCTTGCACACAATCAATGCACCCAGTGCCAGAGGCAGCAAAACAACCCCAAAACATCTTTGAGCCTCCACCATATTTGACTGTAGGTACCTTGTTCTTTTCTTTGTAGACCTCATTCTGTTTTCTGTACAACAGTAGAATGACGTGCTTTGTTAAAAAGCTCTACATTAGTCTCATCTGTCCACAAAACATTCTTATCCTGAGGCTTACTCAGGTATGTTCTTGCAAACTGAAGTCTGGCTTTTTTATGCCTCTGTGTCAGAAGTGGGGTTCTCCTCGGTCTCCTGCCATAGCACTTCATCTCATTCAGATGACAACGTATGGTTCTAGCTGACACCGTTGCACCCTGAGTCTGCAGGACAGCCTGAATTTGTGTGGAAGTTGACTGAGGTTGTTTATCCATCATTCATATATTGCCAGCACCTGTTACTTGCCACAGGTGAGTTTAAACGAAGATCACATGCTTGAAATGAAATTATTTACCTACAGTTTTAATAAGGTGCGAAAGATTTTGTCCAGTCGATTTTTGGAGTTTTGTGTAAAATGATGTCAAATTGGCTTTTTTCTTCTGCTTTTTTGTGTTGTCCCAATGCACATGTAAA